AACCTAACTTATACGCCTTCACAATTATGGCTTCAATTTTCACTGCACAAGGGAAGTTCAAATTGCTAGATGCAATCTTCCGGGAGATGGCATCATCTGGTGTCGAGCCAACTGTTGTTACGTACAATGCCATAATCAGTAGTTGTGGCCGGAATGGGATGAGCAGTGCAGCATACGAATGGTTTCATCGAATGAAAACCGAGAACATCTCGCCAAATGAGATCACTTACGAAATGCTTATAGAGGCTCTTGCAAATGATGGGAAACCAAGGCTGGCTTATGAGTTGTACTTGAGAGCTCAAAATGAGGGCCTTGACCTCTCTGCAAAGGCCTATGATGCAGTTGTACAATCATCTCAAATATATGGAGCAACAATTGACTTGAACCTTTTAGGTCATCGGCCACCGGACAAGAAGAAGATCGGGAAGAAGTTGACTGAGTTCTCCGATTCTGGCTGATGTTCCAAGAAGAAGTTAACCTTCTCACACAAAGGAAATTGAAATACTTTTTGTATAAATCTGAGATTTTAGATGTCCTTGTACATTTTAATTTGTAGGTGAATCAGTAAAAGAGGAGCTTAGAATTTGTTCTCCCCTTGATGCAGTGTTTTCCTCGAGGATAAGTAGGAAGATTTACCCGTTTGAATGAATCCGAATGAAGTGACAAAACCATCTATTATTTAGTTGTTAGTACTTTCAAGTTTATCTTCAATAATACGGGCTTGGGCCATCAATTATACGCCATTCATCATTTCGTGAGTATGTTATGAACACTGTCTAATCTTATAATGATTAAGTAGAATCGCGAGTTTAATTTATTAGTATGGTAGTAAAACTGCAACGGTCAAATTAGATTAAATATCATCAAGTCTATTTAGCTATTAACTATATTTTTTTATTTAAAGTAATTATAATATATTAAAAATTTGAATTTATTTATTTTTTGTTAAAAAATTTATAATTTATATTACTCGAATGATCAAGTTAAATTAAGTATAAATAATTTTATTATATTTTAAAATGAAATGAATATTTTGAATCCATTATATTTTCTTAATTAAAGCAGTTAAAAATTTAAATTGATTTTTTTAATTAAAAAATTAATAATTTATTTAAAATTAGATTCATATTTCTTTTATCTACCAAATAATATTTTATAACTTTTTATTGTATGATATATATTTTAATATGAAAATGTAAGTGCAAAACTTTTAAGAAAATGACACCATGAATTGCAATGTGTCAATCTTTTTCAAAAGAAAATAAAAAAAAAAAAGGAAATTTCTTAACCCGTCAAACATCATTATCATACTATATGTATGTATGTATGTATGTATGTATGTATGTATGTATGTATATATGTATATATATATGTGTGTGTGTGTGTAGATGCTTTTGCGAAAGTATATTGCTATAGGCACCAAAGAGGTGCTGCTCATGTACAAAAATTTAGATGTCAATTAAATTGTCCACCAGGTTCGTTAATTCCTCCATTGAACAAAGAGGATGAATCCGTAAGAAAAAATCAAGAGTCTAAAAACATCTATTTTTTATAATATCAAAACCTTCAGCGTCTTCAAAGAAGAACATTAACCCACTAGTATCATAATAATAGTTTCTAACGGCAAGAAAATTAACCCCAAAATAAAGGAAGCAAATAAGAGTAGAAAAAAGAACCAACGTAAACAATCTTG